GGATGGATGGATGGATGGATGGATGGACAGACAAACAGACAGAGGAATGGATGGGGGAGAGAGAGAGATGATAGAGGATAGATAGATAGACAGACAGACAGACAGATAGATAGATATAGATAAATAGATAGATAATAGATAGATAGATAGATAGATAGATAGATAGATAGATAGATAGATAGATAGATAGATAGATAGATAGATGGATGGATGGATGGATGGATGGATGGATGGATGGATGGATGGATGGATGGATGGATGGACAGACAAACAGACAGAGGAATGGATGGGGGAGAGAGAGATGATAGAGGATAGATAGATAGATAGATAGATAGATAGATAGATAGATAGATAGATAGATAGATAGATAGATACCGTAGATAGATAGATAGATAGATTAGAGAAAACTATACTGTGTATTATATTGGCTACAATCACTTGCAAAATTGCACAGCAATATAGATACATTTTAATGCGTTTTTTTTAAAAAAAAAAATATTTCGATTAACCTAACGAATGACATAGAATAAAGAAAAAAAAAACAACCAAACTGATGGAGTCGCAAACGCGAGAAGCCAATCCAAATGGAAATGGACAAGATTGGCTCCCCGCAACCATCCACGATTCCTATTAGTGTTATTGTGACTGTTCACTGAAAATGGGGCTCACCGACATCCCTCTGGGCGTTGTGCAGAACGCCTGGCCCTGCCTCCGTTGGCGCCTTGAGCCTGATCCCTCGGTGGCTGAGAAAACCCCTGGGGGGCTGCTGTTCTGGGGAGATGTACAGAGAGAACCTGCAGGGATTTTTCAAGCCCCCCCCAGGGAACCAGACGGGAGTCAGGAGGCTGCGTCTTTTTCTGGGAAGTGGTGTGACATCTCCCCGTGCCACCCTCCGACGCTGATGCTTTCCTGATGCTGAACAGAGGGGGTGACTTATCAGCCCCCCTCAAAACCCAGACAGCCACAGGGTGATCCTTCCAAGTAGAATACAACAACAACAACAACAACAACAACAACAACAACAACAACAACAACAATAATAATAATAATAATAATAATAATAATAATAATAATAATAATAATAATAATAATACAAAAAAGCCTGGATAGTGGACGTGGCAGTGCCCGGAGACAGTAGAATAGATGAGAAAGAACTGGAGAAGATAACAAAATACAAAGACCTACAAATAGAAATAGAAAGACTGTGGCAAAGGCAAGCAAGGGTGGTTCCAATAGTCATAGGCGCCTTGGGTGCAATCCCAAAACAACTGGAGCACCACTTGGACACCATCATCGGCATCGACAACTTCGCCATTAGTCAATTGCAAAAGGCAGCCTTACTAGGAACTGCTTCCATCCTGTGACGATATCTGTAATACCATCAAACATCCACATCTGCCTATCCCAGGTCCTGGGTAAGGACTCGATAGGTAGACAAAAATGCCAAATCCAGTCTGAACATCTGGCTGACTGTGCGATGATCGATGATGATGATGATGATGATGATGATGATGATGATGATGATGATGATGATGATGATGATAATAATAATAATAATAATAATAATAATAATAATAATAAGAAGAAGAAGAAGAAGAAGAAGTAGTAGTAGTAGTTGGAAGGGACCTTGGAGGTCATCTAGTCCAACCCCCTACTCGGGCAGGAAACCCTTTACCATTTCAGACAAATGGCTGTCCAGTCTCTTCTTAAAAACTTCCAGTGTTGGAGCATTCACCGCTTCAATTTCTTTATTGTTCCTCACCCATAGACAGAATCTTGCCAAAGTGAAGTCAACTACCAACCCCATAAAAAGTATACAGGTAGTCCTCAATGGCAACAGCACTGGAGAAAGTAACTTACAATCGTTTTTCACACGAACGACCGTTGCAGCATCCCCGTGGGATCAAAATTTGGGGGCTTGGCAAACCAGCATGTTATTTATGATGTCTGCAGTGTCAGTAAGAAGGAAAATGGCTGCATCTCCATCTGTTGTCAAAGCAAAGAACATCCGATGTGAGCAGCGTTGACATCAGGTTGATTGGTTGGCGGCCCAAAAGGGTAATCAGCCCTGAATCACTGCAGGTCATCTCAAATTTCCCAGAACCCCTTAGCATTTCTAGAGGCATCCTGGGACATTGGCAAACCATAAATGTCAAGATCTTACCCCAGCAGATCCCTGTCTGCTGCCTCCAGTCTCCCAATCTGGAGCTGATCCAGATATCCTGCTCTTCCACCCAGCCTCTTCACCAACTCTGTTTCTGCCGCAGAACACTGTGGACAAAC